TGTACTATGTCTACCCCTCCACAATACGCGGAAGAAATAGTTTTCCGCATACATAAAAAAATCTGAAAATTAAGTGACCCAGATCGTAAGGATTTTTTTAAGTGGGTCGGGGAACCAAGTTCCAAGGGATACCACAAAAACATGGTCCCTTTTGACGATATTCTGCACCCGCCCCTGACCCGCTCTGTTGTGTCGCGCTGTCAGTCTGTGTATGCCGTGCTGTCCGGCGCTGCTCCGTACCCTCTCTGTGTGTGCCGCGCTATCAGCTGCTATGCTGCACTCCTACTGTGCATGTTGCGCATCAGCCACTACTCTGCACCCTCCCTGTGCATGCTGCCCTGTCAGCCGCCACTCTGCACACTCTCTGTGCATGCTGCGCTATCAGCCGCTGCCCTGCACCCTCTGTGTGTGTGCTGCGCCATCAGCCCGTGCTCTGCACCTTTCCTGTGCATGTTGCGCTTTCAGCTGTCTGCGTTAACGCGTCTGCGTTAACCACTGCAAGTCTGGAAAACCAGCGGTACGGGGTTCGATTCCTCGCGGTGCCCGTCCTCCCTGCCAGGGTGACAGGCAGGCGACGTCATATAGCCTCAGCAGTTGAGCGCGTCGTAAAGACCCAATGAGGACGACGACGATCCTTTCTGTGTGTGCCGCACTATCAGCCGCTGCTCTGCACCTGTCTGCTTCAGACCGCGACAAGAACGGCCGTCTAACAGTTCGCCGACTTCTGCCTGCTGCGCGAGCACATCTGTCAGCTGAGTGGCTGGCAGGAGGGCAGCGCCAAGAGGAGACACACCGAGGACCTGTTCCTGCACATGTGGCACGACCTGCAGCGGCTAGCCGACTCCGATCACGACGACGTCATCACAGCACAGGAATGGGTATGTTGACATGCAATATGGGCGCGTTTGGCGCCCTGACGCTTCCACATGCTAGGTATCGTTCGTAATGACTATGATCTGTAATATGCGTGACTTTTTTCTGTTGCGATTTCTTAGGGATTGCAAGATTTGGATTATTTGTTAGAAATTGCGCCATTAAGGCCTCGCCTGAACTTGTTTCCTGCAGGATACCCTCATCTTGCCTTTTCTGACATGTCAAATATGGATATGTCAGTTATATGAGTAAGCCTGTGACTCATCGTACCGCAGATCCCAGATATGGCAACTGATTCTCGCTGGCCTACGAAACGGGGTGTGTCTAGCGTATACTCAATCAATTGCTGGCTGTGGTATAGCCTCTCTATAGTCAGGCACATGAGTGAGTCAGAGGCTAAAATTTGTGGAATGGGCGAGCGAGTGTGGTGGCATTGTCGGGAGTGTTTGAAATGAACTCTAAAGAAGTCCATGAGTGCCTACAGAATCAAATGACCACCGTGAAAGATAAGCACGCATTTGCAAGCTTTTCTAGTGGAGATTGCAATTTGAGACGTTCAAACGACTCTTGACTCTATTCCGCCCCTCAGCTTTTGATGTGGGAAAATATCTACAAAGGTTTGCGTGATTACTTCAAGCGAAAGAAGCCATCACCAGCGCCTGCGACCCTACCTCTGAAGAGCCCAAGCTCAAAGTCTAATACTGAAACTGACCCAGAGGTGGCGTCATCGTGCAGTGAGCCGAGTGCCGACAAACAGCAATCCAAGGACATTGCCGAGAAGAATCCATGGCCGGAGTGGGTCCATGCATACCTGGAGTACAGGTTTAATCTCTACGACAGAACTGGTGAGTACTTGTTTATTCATGCCGTAATCTGCCCGCACTAAGGTGTTTGCGGTTAGCACCCGGACAAACTCTATCTATCTGGAAATAGAGTGCATGGTGCACCGATTCTGCTCATTGTCTGGAAGACTAGACGAGTCAGCATATCCTGTTCTGCGTGTACTTTTGCCCCACCGCGACCACTCCACTACCTACCACTACCACTCTCCTGGTCACTGATGTCCGAAAGAGCTGTAAGTCAAACCAAACCAAACGATTCAGTATGGTAAAAAATGTATCGAAATCCCATCCATGACCGATTGCTCCCAGCATTCCAGCTGCCCCACATTGACAACTAGGGATGGGCTGAACTCAGTGCGGGCGCGCAGGGATTGGTGGCTGGCTGCAATCCCCAGCACAAAAACTACGGCCAGGTACTGAGCAGAGGCAATCCAGTGACAGTCATCCGTGTCAGGGACGGTAAAAGTGTACTTTTGTCGCCGACTAAATTTCAAGAGGAAAAGTTGTCGCCAGTAGCGTTATGCGATATCATATGACAAAATGGTCATTAAGACCATGTCCAGTAGCGTCATCAGTAATCAGACTATTATCGAAAGTCCCTTTCATCACTACAATTTTCAATATCATACACACAACCGAAACGTTCAGTCATACACTGTCCTTCAACAAATGTCAGGATAAGCGTTGCTGCTAGGAAAGCAGGCGCAGCTGCCCTAGACTAATGAGTTAGCCCAATCACAACAGGAGTGTTCCCGAGGTTGGCCTCGGGACTTGCCGGGGCCTCACATTTAAACACGATCTACGGTTGGATTTGTTTTCCTTGACCGCATAAAAGCAACAACAACAAAGGACCTCGATAGCCAAGGCGGCAGAATGCACAGCGGACCTCGAACCAGTGGCAAGCGGCACTGGGAATGACGTCAAATATGGGGAGCCTCTGCGGGGACATGCCCTCTTATGAGAATCACGTGTGCGTTTCGAGCCTCATCTCAATCGTCGTCAAACTATTCATCGCACCTTAAGGGTGCTCCAAGCCTGGCGCGGCATGTTTTGACTGGTGGGTGTTTTTCGCCGTGCCCCAAGTAAGCGGTGTCGAAATTTGTCATCACTTTCACATCAGGCGGCTATCTTTTTCTGGACAAGTTACTCGCCCTGACAGCGGGGACGGGGGGAGGGGGGGGGGGGCGATGCGACATCAGCCCCCCCCCCCTCCCCCACTCCCTCCCTACAGTTTTCTGAGCAAACCACTGCGGCATATTGTGAAGTCTCCATCAAATCTTTGGTAGCCTGCGGGGCATCCACTGCACGCGCATTGACACCAAAAAAGTGTTCCTAGTGTTCCTAGTGTTCCTAGTGTTCCTGGTTACTCTGGTTTCAGAGAAGTGTTCTACGAGAACTGCGAGGCGATTCAAGGCCGGCGGACAGCGAGCGACGGCTCTGCGGACCGCGCGCAGAGGGTTGGCACTGGTCATGAACGAAACCCTACATTATATTTGTGGGCTCCAAACAGATAAAACTAGATGCCGTTGTACTCATAATTAAACAAGGGATACGCCTCTCTATGTTCCATGTCACTTAGCTGCATGGTTTTGTATGTATGAACATGAAAAGCTGATGTTTGGTTGTGAGGAAAATTTGACCGTCGACTTGGTCTAGTGGGGTCATTTAACAGCGAGTGACTTCTTACCAATGACGAGATCTCGTTAAAGACAGTTCACTGTTTGTTTGTTTTTTACAGGGCTTTGCCTGTCTTAGTTTGCAAACGTCGTGGATTCCCCCCCCCCCCCACCCCCCACCCCCCACCACCACCAGTCCGCGTTACGAAAACCGGTGAATCAGGGTAAGGGTTAAAATTGTTAGCTGACACCATCTTGTATCAATCTTAGATGCGCTGGTATAAAATTATACATTACAGGCATAGGCACAGGCGTAGAGACGTTTCAAAAGGTGGGGGCAAACTTAGGGCGTAATTCAGGAACTTTTTCTGGAAAGCAAGCCCGATGACCGGAGGGGGTAGAGATGGAGGTTGTTACCGCTCTTTATTCAAATGTCATGCCTGCTGTGCTAGACATGCATCTAGGGCTGCTTCTCGTTGGTACGTAATATTGTCTATTCGACTCATTTGTCATTCGAAAAATAGGGCTATCCAGCTTCCCGAGATTATTCGTCCATTTCAACGTGGCCTTTCCTGGGGACGCGAAATTCCACGAGCGGGTAGGCATTTCGCGTCATTGAGGGGACATTTGCCTTCACAGGGTAGATGCCCAAATGCGGCCTAGACATAGGCTGGACAGAATTTGGAACGTGAATCGTTGACTCACAGTGCGACAGATTTTTCATGCGCTTTCATTTCGCTGGCTGCTTTTCAAGAAATAAGCCTTGTAGCAGCATTTTAGGCGGGAAAAGATTCGGAAGCCTGGAACGGCCAAAAACAATGTAACAAAAGTCATAAGACTGGAGATTCTCCTTAAACAACCAAGCCACAAAATGAAGGCCCTTCTGTCATATATTCCTGATGTGATCCCTGCTCCCGTCTGCCTTCGGCGGCCACTTCCTAAGCCCGGCTGTCTCCCGCATGACTAATGCTGATAATACTGAAATGCTGCTAATTCTGAGCCGCAGTCAAAGGTTGGACAAAAATGGTGATGCTTTTGAAAGAAGTACCTTTGAACGCTTCAGGACACTAAATATTACATTTAGAGCAATGAGCTAGAGTCGCTTTTGAACAAGGGTAGGAGAAAACAATTTCATCGCAAAAAGGCCGTACGAGAGTGGAAAACTCAATTCACAAAAGATAAAACTTATGGGCCAGTTAGAGATGCTTTAGCAAACAAGCACATACATTTCAAGTTGGCGTGGACGTAATATGATAAACCTGACAAAACTGTTTTGTTTTAAACATTTTAAGTCATTAAGTAAAACAGAATACAGTAAAGCATAGTAGTTTAATAACAGTGTGGTGAGCATCAACAACTATGTGACAATAATGTTTTCATGCTGCACTGTGGACTTTCCACAGGACTTTTTAACACAAAAAGCAAAGAAATTCAACAAAAAGAAATCAACAGAAAATTCAACAAGCATAAAGCATTTAAACCCAAAAAATATTAAACTCATGCACATCAGCCCAGCACTACATCAAACACAACAAACATATCTCTGGCTTCTGTTAAAGGGAATTTGTCCCAGTTGAAGATTTTGAGATGAGCATTAGCTATGATGGGAAAAGTTTACTTGTAACTATTGGTAAGCTTTCAGGGTTCAAAAACGACGTTAAGCAGCAAAGTTTCAAAGTTTGTAAAAATGCGCCCCATTGCGTCCTTGATGGCTACATGGAATGGTTTTGTGACGACAATACCTAGCAGCATCTGGCAGCCAGACCTAAAGAATAACTAGGAACACACAAAAGCTGACACCAACCGGCCATTTTCGTCGCGGCCACTGTGTTAGGTGGCAGATTAGTGAATCGCTTGTTTGTAAATTTTTTGCCTTGGTGCTGGTCGTAACAGAAGCTTTGGTGGGCTGTTTGACATACACAACGTAGCGACCGCCAGATTTTAGGGCAGATTACTAACAGCAAAGCGCGATATGCTGTGAAGACTGTCATGTAGCGTCATGAATCTCTTACCGAAACCTGCCGAGGACTGTTAAGGATGTAAATATTGCATTGTCGACTTATCCTTGCCTGCAGTGCTGTAGTCCTGACATTAATGTCATGTGATGTGCGCAGCAGTTGCTTTCTTTATTATTTGTGACTGGAAATGGAACTACACGCAAAAATTTATAGATATATAGCATTGCTATGAATTGAATGTCAAAACATTGATACTTCTGTCGTAAAGCTGGCAAGGTCGAGTTACCAAGAGGGTTTTTCTTGCTTAGGATTATTTATCCAATTACTAGTTAACCCTGATATAAACATTGTGGTGCATTAGCATTCTCGTTAGTGATAGTCCTTTGGCGTTGTTAAGTTCGTTATTACGTCATTCATAAATTATAAGCTCTCATTTCGTTGGCTTGATGCAGAGTAGTCAACCAATGTGGTACATTGTTTAATGGCACCGGTCAACAGCGTCATCGTGGCACTACCTCAGTGTTGTACTGTGGCATGGCATAATGAACAATGATACTGTTTTTGCACTGCAGTCACTGCTGCTGTCATAATATATCCCATCATGAAAAAGGGGTCAAGTATGCATTCTTGTATTAACTTTGTATCTGACATATGAGTGACAAAAAGCACATGATATCATATACAAATCACCTTCAGCAAAGCACACAACCAATAAGTGGCATCACTTGCTCAGTCTGTTTTAGTAATCCACAAAACATAGTGACAAAGATGCAAACACGTCTTCTGCCTGCACAGCCATGCAACATGCTACAGCCACCAGGCTGCTTCACTCAAAAACATTGATCACGCAAGTAATAAGACATGTATATCAAGAAAATATCACATGTAGCAAAATGATACTGCAAACTTGCTGGTCTTGAACAAGGCTGAAGACTTGACAAGTGCATGTAGTTATGGTTGGATGGGCGAAATGCAAAGAAGCGATGTAGCTGACAGTGCACACTAGGCTAATGATAAAAATATGATTAAGTGCTATCCAAGAAACCAACAGCAATACTTGTCCACCTTTCTCAGCACCCAGCATCCCACACAAATTGTAGTGACTATGACAATGATGACTTATGAGCAGTGCTTGCCTGCATACAAAATTGGTTGATATTGAAATTGTTGATTAATTTTTTGAAAATTATATGTGCAACCATAATACCACAGCACTATATTTTCAGAATTCTTAAGTGAAAGACAATTTTGCAACGCTGTATCATGCGAGCTTACACCAAGCATGTGCATTGACGAACTGTGCTGACCGCTCCCTGCTGCCCAAATGAATTGCTAATATGACATGCAATGGATTAGTCACATGCTGTAATACCTAAATAGGTTCAAAATGTTGGCAAGATCGTAATGAAGCAACAAATTGCCTTTGAACACCCCCTGCACCATGGGTGTAAGTGTTTCTATCAGTTTGCCGACATCGCTACGCTGTCATATTCAAAAGCAAATCTAAAGACACAGGTAGCTATCAATACATCGCATTTTATTGGGAGTCGATATATTTAAAGAATACCAAAACGATGTTCTCTATCAAAAGTACGAACCTCGCATGCACGCTCCCCGTCACATGAAGATCAATACAAACCACTGGCCCGCACCACCAGTGATCACACCCTTTTCGAGCGCCTGATTCGCACTCTAATGTCGAATGAGTGTAATCGCACACTTGCACAACCCGCGGGACTATCAAATTGCAGGTTTTCTCACAATTTCCGCACAGATTTTCGGTTATTGCACCACATTTCACCGTGAGCTTCCTTCAAAAGTAAGTCCCAACGGGGGCTCATGGTAATACAGCTCAGGAGGTTGTATTTTTAGGACGCAATTGTTTGGTCACGATTTGAATTGGCCTGTAATATGTGTAAAATATTTTGTAAGATATATTTCTAAAATTACTATAATATTTTTATAATCCTATGATGCCTTGCTAACCCACAGACCCGTGCAAGATTCTTTGCTCTGGTACACAGGGCGCCAACTCGGCTGTCTGTAAGAATTCCGCTAGAAGAAGATGAGAAACGCCGGCGGAAGAAAAAGAGTCAGATTTGCGGTCGCGTCATCTTTTTGATAACGTTCGGGAGATCGCCGTTATTTTTTTCGGTGCTGTAGTTTTTTTGCAGACTGTGGCGTTCTTTTTTATAACATTGACCTATGACCTAGAAGTAAGGAAATATGCCCCGTTGGTGACGAGTACTGCGCAACCCGAAAGTGCTCACGCTTACGTTGGCGACACGCATTCAGCAGCGAAATCTTACTTACAGCCAATCACCTTCCGCGGATTGTATCATACGTGCCGCATCATCGCTCTTGCGAATGTATCAGTGGCCATGCTCTTTTGACCATAAGCTGAAAATAGCTTGTAATATAACGGCAATCGTATGACGTTTCTATGACGACATCAATGTCCAGGTGGCCTTGAAGTAGTCTCCCAATAAACCCTTTCGCACTTTTGTGGGCGCATGGCGCAGAAACCAGAGGGTTTTGGGTCTCAAAAAGAGCGTGGCCCTGAACTGCATCAAAAGGTCCTCAAAATGGCTGTTCCAGTTCAAAACCCCATGTAGAGGTGGAACGTTTCCTTTAAGATGGGGTCATGAAATGCAAACATTATGTCACTGTTTCTTAGCCGGGCGAAAGCTGCGCGAGCTGCGGGCTCACCAGGCTTAGGACCAAAACCGACGTCTGACCTGGCGGTAACGTAAGATGCGTCCCAGACCCCGTTTTCAAAAAACAGAACGACTGCTCGTGAATAAATTGTTCTAAAGTACGTCCCCGCTCGTTGTTGTCATCACAACCCCAGACGGTGTGGTGTGCGTTAAAATATCCCAAGATAACCTAAGGCGGAGGGAGCTCAGTCATCAAATGTCTGAGCTGCACCAGTGGAAAACTGAGCCCCGGTGGCAAATACACTGAGCATAGGGTTACAAAGCGATAATTAAAATGCACACGTGCAGCAACAGCTTGGAGTGGGGTTTGTGGCCTCAGCTGCTGCGCAGGCACACTGTGGTGCGTTGCCAACAGCACACCATCGTGCACCACAGTGCCTGCTAGCACATCTTTTCTAAATACTGAGTAACCTTTGATGATGCAGTGAGCATCCGGCGACAGCTTCACCGTCTGGAGGCAGACAGCAACCGGACAACAGTGACTGAGCACAGCGCGTAAATCTTGGTCCGTAAGCCTCTACAATTCCATTGTAGAATCACCAGCATAAAACTGGAGGAAAAACATGGGTTGCCTGAAAAACTGTTCCAGATTGTAAAAAGAACTAAGCTGACTAGAAGTGTTCCGTTGCACTAGACGAAGGGCTCAACTCCTTGAAGTGTACCCGGGGGTGCACGCATCCACTTGGGCGCAGCCTCCTGTCCGCAGGACTCGAACGACCTTCATTGGAACCTGACTGAAATTTCAGCCGCGCTCGCAGCCTTCCCTCGTCCGTCGGCGAGCTTGTCCAGGGCAATCCGCGCTTAGCGGGGCGGCCCGGGGTGGTAGAAAGATTGACCGCCTCGGCGACGACGGCGGAGTCGCTGGAGGCGGCAGGGACTGAGCAGGCGCAGCGGAAGGCAGAGGAGGCGGTGGGTACCCATTCAGGGCGGAGTAAGCGGCGGCTCAACGCGCCTTCCAAGCGTGGAAGCGCTCCCTTCCGAGGAGGATGGCACCCCACCAGTCCCCTCAGAAGAGAGCGCACCACCAGCCACCGTCGCCACCGACGCCCCAGCAGACCCCAAGGGAGGAGACTTCCCGCCGTCCCCCGCCGGGGCCGAGGAATCGGTGGCCCCCGGGGACCGCCTGGCCGCCCTCACCTGCTCCACCGGATGCGCTCGCCTGGCCTCGCGGGCCCTCTTCTTCACCTCGCCGCGCCGCAACGCCTCCACCACTGTCTCGCCGGGTAAAGTTCGGCTCGTAGTTGTTGAAGGAGACGCCGTGGTCGGCGCCTCTCTCCCGGAACGTGTCTGGTTTGCTCGGGAGGAGCGCCCCTCTCCGGCCCCGACCAAAGTCCACTCCCTGCCCTCCAACGTCTCTCCAACCGGGGAGGCCGGCGGCATAGGAGCCGCCGGCGCCGCAGCTACCGGCGATGCGGCGGGCGCCGCGGTCGCGGATAAAGCATCCGAACCCGCTGCCGGTCTGCAAGTCAACCCAAATGACTGGAGAAGTGCGATAAACTGCGCCAGGTTCATACGGCCTGAGCTGATCCCGCGATGAACCGCGTTTGAGTGGGAACGAGTCACCGCATTTGCGTAAGACACTGTGGGATGTGAGCTATTGTAAATCTCCCGTGCCTCTCGGAAAGAGATGTGCCGGGAGCACTTGATGGAGATAGTTTCTTTCTCTCGAGAGTACGCCGGACAGGCACGGTCAAATGTCGCGTGCGGGATCTGGTTTTTGTCGCAATTCACACATTTCGGTCGCACAGCGCTGCGGTTCTCGCTAGTGCGGTCACTTTCAGTACATTTCCCACGAGGCGGTTTGCTCTTGCAGTAGTCTTTTGCATGGCCAAAGCGAAGACATCGAAAACAGCGCGTAGGGTTGGGAGTGTATAAACGAACTTTCACTTTCACATAGCCGACGACTATTTCTGAAGGAAGATCCACACGGTTGAAAGTGAGGATGATATTGTTTGTTGGGACCAGGTGCTCTCCTCTCCTGACCCTGATCCGACGAGCTTCCACGACGCCGAAACCAGACAGGCCATCCACGCTATCCTCACCACTGACACCCTCCAGGTCAAAACAGTTAATAATCCCGTGATAACAGTTTTTCGTTTTGTGAGCCGTCACCGTGATGGGCAAAGTGGCGTCTCGCCTTCAATCTTTATCTCTGACCGTGTATGTGACTGAGCAGCCTGCCCGGCAGTTCCCGGTACTCCCACTCTCCCACCTCTAGTCCGTTCCAACGGGGTGAAGCGGAAATCGGTCCGTGGCAGCGGCATTTCAGCGATGCAGAAGGACCGTGTCGCCCCTCGGCTGAAGCAGAGGGACGGTCGTACATCGTCGTCAGCCGAGCCGTCGGAGCTGAAGTGTCATTTCCGTCGGGGCTGGTTGAATGAGAATCCATGCGAGTTTTGTGAAGCATTCGGCACTGGGGCTCCCCGCCCACCACGGAGCCCAACTGGGGGACGGTTCAACACTCCCTTGGGAGGTGGTCGCCGCCAGGGCTATGCCGGTGCTATACGGGGCGAACGACGCCTCCCACACGGCCAGGTGTCACCAGGGAGACCCCTCCCCGTCCTGACCGTGGGTCAGCGCCGTCTCCCCCTGGCCCCTTAAGCCGCTGCGCACGACCAAGCGCCCCAAGCGGAGACCCGCACGGAGCACCCAGCTGCAGCGCGAGCAACAAGCCGCTAGACCCGTGTGGGGCCCCACGGGCCCCCGCGCCCCCGGATATCTTGGCCGAAGTGAAGTGTTGGGACGCGTCGCGACTGATCCGCACGACGCGCCCCTCAGCCACTAGGATCCGATTAACCCGGGGACGCGGGCGAGGGGGCACGGCGACCCCGGTAAAACGAGGATTAGGAGTGATGAGTGACCTGGATGCGGAAAGCAGGTCGTGGGAAGGAAGTGGGCGTGACAAGGAGCGGGAGCTCACGTGCCAGCAGGGTCGCCACGCCCTGAGAGGAGCAGCTTGCGCTGTCCACCTGTTACCGGAGATGGGGCCCGAGGGGCGCTAGTCCCCTACATTGGCCAAAGCCGGTGCCCCTGCGGGGCATGGCCACTTCCAAAGTACAAAAATTGTCAACAAAATTTGGTTGGGCGTTAATCTGAGCATGGTCTCTTGCTCTTGATAACGTTATGTTTTCGCCATCACTGGTGTGCCACTCGAATACACATTTCAAACTGTCGCTCAGATACGTTTTCGTCACAGGAAAAAGACACTGCTTGCACCACTTAGATCATTGTTCATGTGTGCACAATATGAAAAAAAAATGAGGCCACCCTGCCAGTGCGTTCACAAACGTAAATTTCACCGTTTTTAAGCAACAAAACTCTCATTCAGTGCTCCCCGACACGTAGATATGCATGCTGGCGTGTACAATACAACCTATGGGTGCTGGCCGATGAGAAATAGTGCAAAACCAGTGGTGAATACCGAGAAATAATCATGTGTCTCTTACAGGTGATGGTGTCATCGATGAAGAAGAGTTTGTGTACGTGCTCACCGACTTCGGCGTGAGAGAACGATTTTCACGCCAGGCCTGGAAAATATTTACGCTGGTAAGGGTAGCACGCTGGGAAGCATGTCTATTGCTCGAGAGCAAACTGACGTAAACCACCAGTGTCTTCAGATAGTCATATGATTCAGTCGCTGCTGCCTAGGCTTCCGTCTCCAAGCGGCTAAAGGGCAGTCTGGCCGTGATGACTTGCCTGCACTGGTTGTGAGCTCCACCGTCTTGTGACACCTGCTCCGTTGTTGCAGGGGAGCTCGGAGACCGTCACGTTCGAGTACTTCCGGCAGCTGGCCGAGGAGTACTACATGAGTAATGATCCGGCCGCCGTCGGCAACTTCCTCACGGGAAAGCTGGACTTTGTGTCTGGCGAATACGCCAACATGTGAGCAGTCGATCTGCGGCGCGCGCGGAGTGAATCTGGCTGGGGGTGAACCGCGCGGAGGACCGGGTCACGAGGCGGCGCTCGGGTCACCTACTCGCGCTGATGGTCGGTGTCCGACCACAGGATAAACCCCCTTGGGCGATGTTAGCCTGAGCAGAAGCGTGACAGAGTTTGTTGCGATGATGTGCGTCCGTACAATCGAATGAGGAGAGGAATCTGAGATTCTGAGGTGCAGCGTTTGGTGCCTTGGTAACCGCTTCCATGGTGCTGAAGATGGAACCTAATTGATGAGACGTATTTTAAGCTGCTCTGGAGAGGCGTCTTTCCGTCCTGGCACCCAGGGACCACAACCTCAGGCATCGCAGCGATGCACTTGCTTGGGTCGGTTTTGCGGTGGGAATTCAAATTTCCCCCCTCGTGGAGCAGTTATTTTTGCCAGAAATTCTTTGCTTTGTCTTCCGTTTTATCACGCCCGAAGTTCTAACGATGTAGTGCGAAGCTCTTCCATTTTGGACGCCCGTCAAGTAGCCGTGTATCCATGCGTTCTGCTCGGTGTATTGTTCAGTCTCCTAGGTCCTTTTGCAGGATAAGATTCATGGCATGTCGTGCTCAGTTTGGCCTGTCTTGATCCTGATTAACATGATCTGTAACAAAAGTGCATTTTTGTTTGCGTAACGGCGCCGTGCCGTTGTTAATCGATATTACTTTAGCTCTGGTCTGATCGAGGCTTACTGTCTTGGGAACTATCTTACCTTAACGGTGATGGCTGAGTAAATTCACGGCATTTGGGCAAGAGATTTGATATGAATTTGATGTTACAACTTGGTCCATCCTGCTCTTTTGCCGACAGTTTGGCTTGAAGGGGTTACTGTCGGAGTATCGATTCTACCATCTGATGTCGTGACAATTGTCCAGTAACAATGTAATGCAATGATTGACGAGTGCATGGTCACGGTCATGTATTTGTCCTTCTTGTGATTCTTTACACTCGTACGTGGCATAAACTCGTTACAAGCGAGAGCAGAATAACTCACTGTCACAACACAGTTTACTATTAGTTCGAGTATGCGACATCATCCATCAGTTGAACCATCAGTTCAAGTATGCCTCATTAACAAAAATGAATAAATAGAGTCCATAAATAGGCAAACAATTTAAGAACACTCACGAAGTGCAAAAAGTCTAAAAGGACGCGTTCCTTTTCGTACTATGCACATAGTACCAACCTTTCGTACCACGTGCGAGGCTATCAAAAGCATTTCCTGTCTCCATGTCACCCGCGCCGTCATTCTACGCAAGTGCCATCCGTTCACGTCCTCAAGCCGGTCTGTTTCGGTGCCAAGATTGGCCCTGATGCCGCCTTCTCTGCCCGGCGTGCCTCAGAAGGCGCCGCCGCAGGCTCGCTGACACTCCTCCCGCGTCTCGAAGTTGTTGGCGTTGCCGTTGCAGCCGCCGAAGAAGAATGCCTCGCAGGATCCGGAGACGAGGCTGAAGCCGTACCGCTCGAAGGCGGCCTTGCACGGGCCCTTGACAATCGGGAGACGGCACGTGTCGTCTGGGCTCCCTGCAGCGAGGGCGGGCAGCGTCGGACAGAGACAAATAGTACACGTCTGTAACGGGCGGTGGGGATTAAGTTGGACGTGTTGGGATGGCGCCGGGCGGGGCCCGGCTTTGCCAGGTAAGGTCGGACGGAACAAATAACATCGAAGATCGGTGGAAAGAACTAGGCAGCTATGGACAGCTGTGAGTAGTTTTAAAAGGGTCTGACATGCGGGATATACGTTTAGCGGAGTCGAATAGTGGTGGTCCTTGCATGACGGATTGAGCAGTGGTGATGTCAGACAGCATCAGGTGTCGGACAGCGTCGCAGAGAGTTGGGGGGTGATACACGGCGTCAGGATAGGGCCAGACAGCGTTGGTGGTAGCCACGGCCAGCGGTGGCCGCCCGGTCCGCTGATGGGGGCGCCGGTGGGAGCCAGCCTGGGATGGGGGCTACCAACCTGCGGGCTTGAACTCGTTTGAGGTCAGAACAGTGGTAGGCAAATACTGGGGCAAAAGGTGGGAAAACAGAGTATCGCTCGTATGTTTGCTATTTCCACAAAACATCGTGCTCAACATAAAGCAGAGGCGAGTACTGCATGCTGGGGATTAGTGAGTGGCGAGTATGGAGCTGCTCTCCGCATATGCCGACAGCTAAGCAGTACATATGTGCAAGAATTGAGACGGTTTTTGGAGCACACACCGTGACATCAGGGTTTGAGTCAATAGCGTATGTTCCACACACACACACAACTATATCGTGCAGCCATGACCCTGTTTTTCGTAAACGCCAACAGCTGAAACGCTATGCCTTCGGTTTGCTTTTCGTGGTCGTAAAAAGCCAACTGCGAATTCGTTGCACCTTGTATGAAAACGGGCCCATAGCGGCCAGTTACTGATGGTCGGTTCGGAGTCATTTCAAAGGCCAGTATTACGTGTGAAACACCGGTTGCTTGCTCCTTGGAGGTGACTTCGACGTGCGATAGCGTGTGATCAGGTCTAGCGAGCTGCAAGGTCTCGTTAGAGCCCCAGGCTGGGTATTGCTTTTTCTAAAGGGTATGCCGTAACATTTTCCCTGTCACATGTATTCAACTTATTGTGCTTTAGGAATAGTGTATACGTAAAAAATAACAATAATCCAAGGAAAATGGGGTAAAAGAATCAAAGGGCCCGAGGCTCACAAACCGGTTGATTTGTGCACAAAAGTGCGCTCCGCTTCTCTTCCATCATTAATCCTGTCATGTGCAGCTCACAGCTTTTCAAACCCAGGAAAGAGCAATGGAGTATCTCTGAATCCAGATGAGTCAGACCCGCCACCCCCGCGTGATACGGGAGTAAGCCGAGGCGTTGAGCGGCCAGCTCTGCTCCCAGCCAAAACCGGCCCAGTCTGGTTGTGTCGACACAGCGGCGGGTCCGATGACGGTGCGGTAGTCGGCCTGACACTTCCGGTAGCGGGGCGGCGGCCGACAGCGACCCGGAAGCCGAGCGTGACCTCGCCTCTGCCCCGCACGCTTTGGGCGAACACGCTGCACACGGAGTACGGGGCCCGCTGGCAGCTGCCGGCGGCGGCGAGCGCGGGAACTACGCTCTAATGGGCGCACCAGCCCCCAAAAATGTTTGCCGTTTGGACCGCAGCCTTGCAGCGTAGAACCGGAACACACGGCGAAGCCGAGGGGCGCGCTCCTGGCAATGCGAGCGGTCGCCGGTGGATCGGACTCCGTGTGTGATGCGTGCTCAGACCCACTCATGCCTGGATCTTGTGATGACTTACAGCAAATCACGACAATGCGTAGAGGTGCGGCATGTGATCCGTGCAAACACATATGTGTGGCTGTGACCATGAGTTTGTGACTGTGGCTATAGCCGTGCGATTATGCGTGTACATAAGTGCATGCAGATGTGGACACATTAGCAGGCAGACGAATGAGTAGTGTCTGTATTTGTTGCAGGCACATGTTACGCAGTGCTGTGAAATGCAAGTGAGAAGGGCTGATCAGTAGCATCCAAGCTATTGGCCCTGAGCACATACTTACACTAAGCCGAAACAAATGGAAGAAATAGAAGAATATCTAATCGGACAACCTCCGATAAGAACCACTAGGAGACGGGCATGCGCATTAACTACGTGAATCCACTGGAAAGCCGACGTGCCGACGATCACTCCCAGAGTATGCGAACGGAAGAATACCAGAGAAACGCGGAAGAGAGCGAACAAAGCCCCCAACGGCAGGCGTTCGGCGCGCCAGTGGCCTCCCGGGGGTCGGTCATCTACCTGCGCAAGAACACTCCGGGCAGCCGGTGACAGGGCTGGGCCGGCGGCTGCAGGAAGCTTCACACTGGTCCAGCTCTGCACACCTCACCTCGGTGCCCATCAGGGGGGCGCACCGCGTCCGGCACTCCTCCTCCGACCGAAAGCTGCAGCATATGGCGCACGGGTCACCGCCGCGACCTGGGCGCACCCAGCAGCGCGGAAGGGGGGGGGGGGGGCGTGCAGCTTTGTGAGCGGCGACTCCACGAGTTTGGCGTCGCTAAGGTTCCGACAGCTGATGACGTCATACTCGCTGAGATCACCGTCCGGTCATTGCCCGAGTGTCTGATGTGTACGGGTGCCCGACCGTCATAAGCGACGTGGCGGCCGGCGAAGGAGTTTCCTCCCGTCATCTGCGGCTGAAAACCCCGTTATTTTGTAACGGAGCGGGACCCTTCTGTAACTGGCCTCCAATAACTCGTCCTACGTCATACCTGTGTGATATCAAACTGATGTTATGATTAAACAATGCATGGTTATGAACTGGTGGCACTGCCTTCGTTGCACGATGGTGCCTTGAACAATCCAAACTATGGCTCTGGATGGGCGGGATGCGTGAACCCAAAGCATGGCCACGAAAGCAAGCCTCTCCGCATAGACCCTGACGCGCGACACCCAGCCCTGGACTTCTCTCACTGCGAACTGGCGCAAATGATATAAAAGTAACCAAGCCCTGTGATCAGGCCATGGTTTTGAGCGTTCCAAATCGTCCCCAGCCGGGCCAGACGACGGGCCGGTGTCTCACTTGTTGGCAGTTCCACCGCAGCCGCCCCAAGGGAACGAGCGGCAACGGGCCTCGTTCTGATCAAAGGCCCAGCGTTTGATGGCACCACGACACACCCCGGGCTGCACGGGCTCTAGGCAGGCAGTCTCGTTGACCTCTCCCGTCCTGGGCGTGGCCGCCGCGTCGCCCGACCCCACTGGAACAAGTAACGGCCAGGTGGTACGTAACAGCTAACAGCCTCGCAATGCATCATCCGCCTCATAGCTGGCCCTGTGAAAGCGCAATCGTACAACACCTCTCAATCGGGCGCCAGGTAAGGATGGGGCTAAGGCTAATTGCCACGCTGGTTCATAACCGCGTCATAATGTTTGGTGTGCCCAGGACTGATAGTCTTTCTGGTTGTTACTTCCCTAAACAAATTTGGGTAACGTGCACATAACGAGAAAGTTTTTTGTTCCGTATCTACCTTAGGTGTTGCAAATGACATGGTTGATACATATGTCGCCAATGTCATGATTCGTGACGGGAAAGGTATTTAATGTTTTCATTGAGCTACGGCCTCGTTTCAGTGTTATTCTCACGGAGAGCGCATGAAATATACCCGCGTTATCCAACATCTTATCATAGCCGCTTCGCAAATCTGCATTGACTGGAACAAAACAGATATTGTTATTCTGAAAAAGACGACTACAATGTCTTTCAAATTTGATGTTTTCAAATATACCAGATGCAGAGCGGAGACAATGTTGACATTCTTGGCATGTTTTATTCATCCAATTATGGCGTAGCCATATGTCCAGAAGTGCTGCCATATTTAAAAGTATCACTGTAAGTGCCGTCGATTGGAAGCGTACCATAATCGTGCTGTATTGGCTCGTGTTAAAGCCCAAATATCGCAGAATTGCTCCGATATAAGCAGTCGACACTCAACGACAAGATAATATATGAACCATAACGCAGTAAGACAACCTCCTACGCGTTTAATTCCAAGCTGAGTGTTGGCGGAGCCCGGTTCTTGTGAACTATGGTGGTGCATGTGAACTATGGTGGTGAAATCCGTGGGTGAAACTAGCAAATGAGAACGAATGGGCCTTTGCCACCACGTGCAAAATCATGCATGATAAAAAGTAGCTCCGTCTCGCTTGTTATTAATGGCACGCCCACGACTTGTTTGAGAATGTATGCGTACAGCAAATCATAAAATGCACGAGCTACAAAGTTTGTAAATGGTCATCCTCGACACCTGCATCTAAGTGTGTCAAATTTTGAGCCTTGATCGCAACCTAATTGATAAAAGCTGGCGAGAAAACAGGCCGTCAGCTGTCCCGGCAAGCTGCCACTAAACATAGCGGACGCTTTTCTGCGTATAAGTGGGCTCAAAGATATTCATTGAAACTCCTTGCGGCAGAGATGATTGAAGGTCATCTATAGGCTATTTCAAAATGGCGTTTCAGTAGGGAGGCGAATGTCAACTGATGCACCACACAAGCATCATGACTACTTTGCGAAACCGGCATGGAACCCGACACCATCCGCCGGCATTGCCAAACTCTTAACAGAAAAAAATGGCATGCAGCAGCGATACCAGCTGCTGCACGTCGTTTCTGAGCAATGTGGCCATTACAGTGGTGGACAACTACACAAAATACGGATAAGGATCAAACGCAGGGCGCTTCTCGGTCAGTGTTTACCGAAGAGCGTGAAACCCAGCCGGCTTGCATCGGACTCCGGCGCGAAAGGCCAGCGACATCGACGGGGTCGTGGAGTCCGATGACACGATTGCGGCGGGCCGCGGAATCCACAGGTATGTTCCAGTTTGACCTGATAAGCAGCGGCTAGTGACGGTCCAGGCAGCTCACCCCTGACGTATACCCCGTCAGAGCCTCTCCAGTCCTGACGTCATCTCAAAACAAACCCAGCCGCCGCGTCAGCCGGCCGGTGACCTGACGACCACGGTCCCCGTCAGCCGGCCGGTGACCTGACGACCACGGTCCCCGTCAGCCGGCCGGTGACCTGACGACCGCGGTCCCCGCCAGCCGGCCGGTGACATGACGACCACTGTCCCCGTCAGCCGGCCGGTGAGCTGACGACCACGGTTCCCGTCAGCCGGCCGGTGACCTGACGACCGCGGTCCCCGCCAGCCGGCCGGTGACCTGACGACCACTGTCCCCGTCAGCCGGCCGGTGAGCTGACGACCACGGTCCCCGTCAGCCGGCCGGTGAGCTGACGACCACGGTCCCCGTCAGCCGGCCGGTGACCTGACGACCATGGTCCCCGTCAGCCGGCCGGTGAGCTGACGACCACGGTCCCCGTCAGCCGGCCGGTGAGCTGACGACTACGGTCCCCGTCAGCCGGCCGGTGAGCTGACGACCACGGTCCCCGTCAACCGGCCGGTGAGCTGACGACCACGGTCCCCGTCAGCCGGCCGGTGAGCTGACGACCGCGGTCCCCGTCAGCCGGCCGGTGAGCTGACGACCGCGGTCCCCGCCAGCGGCCGGTGGGCTGACGAGGAGCCGTCGTCGTCAGCCGGGCTGGTGCGGACTCGGTCAACGCAGCTTGGCTGGCGCAGGGTCCGAGCTCCTTCTCCCCTCCCCCGGCCCCACGACAACCTCGACCGGGAGCGAACTGCAGCGTGGCGGGCCGGCCCTGGCACCTGGCGGAAGCGGCCACTTCCGGGGCGGCTGGCGCGGGGGAGCTCCCTGCCTGACCGGAGGCAGCGCGGCGGGGGTGTCGCTGGCCCGCTCATCACGAACGGCTCGAACGATGGTCACCCTTCAACACTGGTGCGCTAGTATTGTGGCAGCTATGCTGCCGGTGCCATTCGAGGTATTGACAGAGAAGCCCCTGATTTGACACTGGGGGTGCCGCCCTGCTGCAATCGACCACGAAAGGCAAAACGCCTTTAACACTTGCTTTCCAGACAACGCTAGAACGGAGTTCGGGCGAGCGGCTAAACATCCCCCGATCTACTCGTCATGGAAACTGTGTGTGGCGTGAGCTCGGGCGAGCGGCTAAACATCTCCCGATCTACTCGCCATGGAGACTGTGTGTGGCGCGAGCTCGGGCGAGCGGCTAAACATCCCCCGATCTACTCGTCATGGAGACTGTGTGTGGTGGATTGGTAAAACCCACCTTGTGAAAAATGTCGGCACTGATCGGATGTTTTTGTATTTCAACTGCGTGCTAGGGGCGGTCGCTCCGATGAGCTGAGTCAAACAGGGATCCATGAAAGCTGCCTCCAGCCCTAAAGAAATGCTAACAGATTTCGAGATTAACTGGCCAAGTGAGAATACTCTCGACCAAGATTATGAGCAAAACCTAAATAGGCGCTGAAGTCAATGAAGACCAGCTACCGGCGTCTCATAGCAAACGGATCGGCAGCAGAACAAGGAAGAAATCTAGCGCCTATCCGGCCCAAGGGAACGGTGAGGCTCCTATTTTCCACACTGAATTTAGACCACAGATCTTTAGCACCCTGAAAAATGCTACATATCGGAACGGTTGCAGGTGGAATTGTGCGTGATTCTACATAAAGGAGCATTTATATCCAGTGTATTTTTCTCACCTGAGGACCATTCACCGCAAATGGCCACGGTCTTTTTATCCACAGCTTACCGAAAAGAGTTCCGCATGGGCTTTCTGATTCACGCGAGTTACTAACGATGGTATGTTTTTGAACAGAATATGTGTAGATGAAAACTGCCCCGGGCAAGCAGGAACGGTTCAGGATAGCTCCTAGCTTGAATACGTTCGTGGGCCGAAGACCAAACTTGTCCGTATTTGTTTTGACTTCCGCATAGCTGAAGAGGTTTCATCACTGCTCTCAGTCATTTTTGGCTGTTTTTTGTGACTCAGACTCAACGCCGAGGGGACTGGTGCAAACATCGACGACTGGGACACTTGCTGAAGGACAACTGGGCTCGATCCACTCTACGGTTCACTCGATCCACTCTACGGTTCACTCGATCCACTCTACGGTTCACTCGATCCACTCTACAGTTCACTCGATCCGTTCCGCGGTTCACTCGATCCACTCTACGGTTCTTTCCTTTCACTGCACTTGTCTCCTTTAATGCTTCAAAGAATGTGTATGTGGAAGCAGATTCACCCCGGGACTTGATTAATATGTGACACAGCAACCTTTCAAATTGAAAAAGACTGACGAGCAGGGATCAAAATCACGTCCATATTTGGACGGCTAAATGCCAAGCGATTTGCAGTCACACTCTTCGGCGAAGGAGGGAAATGTCAACCACCCCACCAAGAGTATAGGTCTGTTGCGCCACTGGTCACGCGCTATTGAGTACATCCACGAATTCACCTACTTTAACGTTGTAAATGATTGATATCAAATCTGCACAATTAGAAAATGTGCTGACTGACTGCAAGATGTGGTCGAACGGACCATTTAGAATTGCTGACGGATTCCAGCACTGGTCGACATATGCTAGTTACATCTGCAATAGACCAGAAAACGGTGAATGTCACGTTCACAAAACTGGCCTCGAATACAACATACTGTGAGCTAAACTGCAAGAGTCTGTGGCATGGGATCTGGGCAAGCGTTAAGTTCGGTTCATTGTAACCAATATCGATCAAAATATTTCCGTTCTTGGAAATACTACGGTCACAGCTAGCAAAATTATTGACTATTCCAGTCTCAAATTCTGTTGATATATTAAGAGAGAAGGAGGAAGGGTTTGTGTGTGTGTGTGTGTGTGTGTGTGTGTGTGTGTGTGTGTGTGTGTGTGTGTGTGTGTGTGTGTGTGTGTGTGTGTGTGTGTGTGTGTGTGTGTGTGTGTGTGTGTGTGTGTGTGTGTGTGTGTGTGTGTGTGTGTGTGTGTACCTATGTGTCTGTGTTTCCACTTAAGTTGACAGCGCGTCAGGACCTTGTAGCTGCCTGCTACCTCACACCGAAACTTCCAGGTGACACCGGGGCTGCCGACTTTGGGCGCAACACCTGGCTGCAGCTTTGAGTCGCCGAAAGGTATAATCCAAAAACTACTCTCATGTGAAAAGCGTACGCTTTTTTAAGATGAACCAACACGAGCAGAATACCGCATATGCATTATGTATAGGCTTTGTATTAAGTAAGACGCAAAAATGAGATACACTTTGAGAATGCTGTTCATTGAGATTTGGTCGCTGATTGCTGTGAATTGATGATGCAGCTGTATGTATAGTTCGCAGCGTAAAGGCTGTTCTAACTCCGCATGACAATGAGACAACTCTACATAACATGTCACGAAGATAGCCGACAGCTGCGCAGCAGAGCTGGGTTTTAATGAGCATTATGCATTTACACCCGGCCTCAAAAATCATTGTCAGTAACGATAAGTCGTTATCATTTTATCATCGTGATTATTTCATGAAAGGAATGCGACGCATGTCTTCACGCCGCTGGTATGGAGCACCATCAGTGCATTGGCCTTAAAAGAGCTCCGTGGCCGTGGCGCAACCGGAATTCAACAACTCAGCAACAACAGCCCCACGTGGAAGCCTAAGGCGTTAACCACTTGGCCTTCGGAGGTGGTCCCGAAGACCAGAAACACGCTACGTGCTACTCATAACGACAGACAACGAGGTGATGTTACCATTAACGAATTATTCCAAAACTTTAAAAGGTGCACACGAACAGCTGCGATATAACCCCGCTATCGTAATTGCATCGACCTGGGTTACGTTTTCCAATTCCAATAATCGTTTACCGGGAATGGGTCCTCTTGTGAAAAGGCTGTGTTTAGACGGGTATTTATGGCCGCTCTTTCCTCGGTAGCTGGCAAAGAACATCGTAGTCTGTTGAGCGAGCCAGAGCCCGGCCTATAGCCGACATAGACAGGCCTTGCTGCAAACTGAGCAGAGAGCAAGTCAAACCGACTAAATGCTCTCACCACGTGTTTTGATCGTGGAAGGGAGACAAATGCAAGAGAGCAGATCTAGAAAAGCCTCTGACAGGAGTCCGCCCTGCCGTCTTGCTCCGGTCTCGTCTCGCCGGTCGTCGAGCCGGCCGGAGCACGGCTGGCTGGCACTCACCGAGCACGGCATCAAACGCGTCCTGCAGCGAGGGGTAGGCCGCGGCCAGCCCCACAAGCGCCATGAAGATCGCCAGCCTGCACATCTCGAGCTGCGCCCTGTCTGTCTGCCTGTATGTCTCTCTGTCTGCCGGCGCCGGAGCGGGTCGAATGCGGTGCGCCGCCGCCGGGACCGCTTTATAGTTGGGCCAGGCGCTGGGTAACCCGGCGTGACGTCACCAGCCGGGCCGGGCCTTCAGCCGTCGCCGCCACAGTCGCCGCCTGTCCGTTCGCCCAACATCACGCCACGCACGTATGGCCGCCGGGCATGCGTGCACGCACTGCCCTCCCCTCCCTCCCCCTCCCCCCGGCCGAGAGGTGTCCCTGGTGCAGCGGCGGCCCGGAAGCCGGATACGTTTGGGGCCGCATAGGCTGGGAGGCCCGCCCGACCCCGAGAGGTGGCGGTCGCCGCGCGGCCCCACGACGCCGCCGGTCGAGACGGGCCGGCGCCGCTGGCCCTCGTAAAGAGCCGGCTCCAAGGTGTGTGCTGACGTCACCCGGCACGGTAATGAGCGGCGGCGATCTGTGTCAGAGGCGGGCCACAGAGCTGCCGACCGCGCGGCCGAGCCGCCTCTGGGTCACCCATCTGCTTACAGTCGGGCTGGAACACAGAGCCAACCCGAAAGCCTTGACCAGGAAAAGATCGGCCTAGCCTTCCTGGCTGGCCGACGTACCAGGAAGGGAATTCAGGACCGCCCAGGTCTAGGTGTCCTGTTACCCACTGGGCCGCGGGAGTGCACCACCCGAAGCTGATCCGGAATGCCCGCTTCGCCGACATGCAATGCAGTTGCATGCATGCGAGTGCAAGTGCAAGTGCCTTATATTTCCCCGACACGTCGGAGAGATGAAAGCCAATGAGCATCAAGTTGGTACAAATCCATCTGTCAACGAATTAGCATAAGCACCCCGGTAGCAGGCGTTTGTCGTCGACGTCATCGGGCTTTGCGATGCACTCAGCTGTTGAGCCTATATGTCGTCGTCTGCCCCTCACTCTGGCAGGAAGGGCGGGCACCGCAGGTGAAATGTGTTCATTTTCGTTTCTGAGGTATCCATCATGGTTCTAAGTACATCGACCATAAATAAGTAGCGTGAGCATACTGAATCCCGTCCATGAACAACTATGTATGTGACCGTGCCCGGCGACCATGCCTGGGCTAATGCTTTGAACAAAGAAAGATTCCCGTCTAAGCAAACAATATGCACACATTGTGTACATACGTGTGTATCGAGAGACAGCTCTCAACCTACACTGATGGGGTGGCTTCGAGCTCAGAGCCTTGAGCTCAGCCTCGAGACCCACGTACGTATACAAATGCGCACACATGACCTTTTGTGTGCACAACATTATATAATAGAGACCACGGAATACAAGCTTTTTCATCCCAAACAGCACGTGATGACCCCCCCCCCCCCCCTTCCTAGCTCCATTCATGCATAAGGCTCTGGCAGTTTCCGTCTTCTTTTGAAAGTCTGGGCAAAACATGAAAATATTCAGCATAAAGGGAGCATGCTATATTTTCACATATTGTTGGATCTCACTTATTGTTCTCACTTCTTGTGATTTTCTCACTTCTCACTTATCGTACGAGTTAATCGGTACTACCAGAATTTCATAATTTCGGTTTAAAGTGCCACTTCTGAGGGAGAGATCTTATTGGACTTCCTGCTCACCACTCTGAAAACAATTAACTCTATTTGCCTTGCTTTTTCCAACGTGTTTTGTAATTTTTGCAACACAGTTATCTGTAAAAAAAACATTAGTGTGTTAATAAGCGTATAAAAGTTTGAAACACTATAGCGAAAAGTACATGCAAACATGAGGCTTTATCCCGCAAATTCAACGAGGCGTAAAATTATGGCTTTTAGTTCTTCCCCATGGCGTTTACCACAGTGACCCTTTCCGAAGCACCATTTCGCTTTGGGAATGGAGCATCACGTGATCTATAGTGACGCACTGGTTGAAGCTTTAACCAATGCGCTGCTCGGCAACTGGTCGTTCAACACGCGCCCGGGTGGCCGGTTGGGTGCCCTTCGCTTGGATGGGGTGTTAATTTGATCCCCGAGATCTCAGGAGATAAGAGGGCTAGAGACGACACCAAATTCATAGGGTGTTCGACCTGTACGTAAACTCACTTAGGTCAAAGTTTGAGCCTCCTAGGTTATGGCCTTCAGGTTGAATAAGGTTGAACAAGATCAAACTCCAAGCTGGTCTCCAAAGTGTCCCGAGAACCTACATACCTGTTCTAAGCAAACGGTCACAAGCTTTTTCAAGGTAAGTGACCCTGTTGGACCTTTCGAAGGTCATGGTGACCAAAATCATAGAAGCCTGCTTTGAGTTCTGCATTTCCACGCGCGACAAAGATTAAGTTAGGCAGCATGTTCATAAAAATGATATGTTGACGTTGGTCATTTTACGTCAGTGACCTATTCGGACCTATAAGTTCATGAAGATGTATAATGAAGTTTATGTTATCAATACATTCGAAATTAGCAACAGAAACCACCCAAACAGCAAGCCCTATAAAAAGAAAGCAGTTGGTTTGACCCTGGTCTGACCTTTATGCCTGACCGTAGGTCAGTGGAATTTGGTCATTCGATTGTTTTGCTGCCTAAGGAAGTATCTCAGAGATGTATGGGTTCGTCTAACACTCCGTTGTTCCATCAGATTGAAAGATTCCCTTGAAATTGACTTCGCTGAATCCATGGCCTGGATTTGACTTGTCGTAGGTCAGCGACCTTGCAAGGTACATCCAATTTTTTATTTCGCACGATTTGCTATTTAATTGCCTACAGCTACGCAAAATTTGGTGCGACTACGCCTCGCCGTTCAAAAGTGATTTCGAAAAAATTATCGGGGTCAATTTGACCCCCACCCAAGCGCGTGCGAAAGCCCGCATGCCCGACGTCTGGAGGTTAAAACAGCTCAAAAGTGGTAGCTCCGACCCTTTACAGCTGACAACGACCCTCATGAGACCCTGACGTCGTCGTGACTTCAGTTCGGCTTAAGGGACTCGTGGTTGAAATTGGCTTGGAGGTTCCGCCGTTCGGTACTGGGCTCCTGACTGCCACAGGGCTCTTACATCGTCTCAGCGTGAAATCACATTATAAGTCTGCAGGTTTCCTTTCGTTGTAAAGGTGCTCCGACCAGCGCAAGAGGCCTCTGACATTCGGGATCCCGTCTCCATCTCCGCTCAGCGAATTTTCCCCTGGTCGAATCGAGGCGCCTTGTTAAAACAGGACACTCTGTTAAGCACTGCGGGCCCCTGGCCGACATTCTCATTGTTTCAGCGACCCGACTAATGGAAACCGTGGGCCCGGCCTTGCTCATGCTTAGCAAATGAGTCTGCAGGGCTCAAACCGACACGGAGCCGGCTGCTTGGTGTTGGTGGTCTATGGCCGAAATAGAGGCCTGCACTGTCCCACGCGCCCCCACTCGATGGAGAGGCCCTCTAACTGGCATTTGAAGCCGCAGCGGTACGGGCGGAGGCCGTCCTTTTTGTGACCTGTGGCCTGTTCTTCCGGCCCTGTGGCCCCTCCAGATTTCCAATCGGACTTTTGATCTTCGATCCTGGTAGCTCTTCTTCCTCTCTTCGGGTCTCCTCAGTTAAGCCTCGTGATGGGTTCATGATCACTTGCCGACACATGACCCCGTGTAAGGCACGGAGGGTCCGTGACCAACACAGGGGCCGGGATCCTTTAGATGACTGCCCCTGACAGATACAGCGGCCCAGACCAGTACATTTCGCTGGCCCGGGCTTTGCCGCTGCTTGGGAAGTGGACCCTTAAACCCATGCCGACACGGACCCGATAGTGCAGCACTGATGTTGCCTGACCGTTGTGGAGGCCCTTCTCGACTCAGAGGGTCCCCGATCGGCGCTAAAGACCCTCTGGCTGACATCCGAGGGCCCGTCCACACAGACCGGGGTCCCTGAAGAAAACTCCGGCCAGCCATTCGTGTCCTTAGGCACTACTATCGGGCCCATGATTACCAGTCTCGGTGGGCCCTCCAGGCTCTCTTCGGGACCCCTCGAACACCTTCTCTCGCCCACTCGGGACCCTTGTCAATACAGGGTCCCCTGTTAGGTTTTGACCTCTGACAAACGCTGGGGCCTCGATTAATGTAGATCGCTGGCCCCGGCCCTGTCCCTGCTTCGGAAATGGGCCATCAGGTCTTTGCGGCCACGGCGTCGACGGTGCGATACTGATGGTGCCTGACCGACATACAGGCCCTTACCAACTCAGCCCCCCCTCCCCCTCCCGATCGACGCACAGGGCCCTCTGACTAGCAATAGCGCGACCGACCCTGCGAGCCAGGGCCCCTGAACACCACCTCCACCTTGCCTTTTGGGTCATTCAGGCTCTCAAATTGGGTCCTTAATCATCGGTTCCGAGGGGTTCTTCGGCCACCCCGGGACCTAACGGAGGGGGGAACGTGTCCCCTGTGCCCCCCCCCCCCCCTCCCCCCCCCCCCCCCCCTGTCTGTGCCACAGGTCGCGACAACTTCAGCTGTTGCTTTCTCGGGATACAGCCCGGGGCTACCACGAAAGGTGTGTAGTGTAGTGCTGGTATAAAGCGTTTGCAGCGTAATTTGGAACAGACAAAATCAAAATTCACATCCTTATTTAATATAAATGGTGGTAAAGGGACACTACCCAGCATTATCACTAGGTTAAATGATTCTGAGGTTTCACCAGAGTACGTTTTTTGGAGCCTTACCGAAAGATGGGACACTTCCTTTCAGTGCTGGCATTGGAAGAAAATTGCATGTGTGGGAACATCAAAACAAAGTAGTTCGAAAATATGTAATTGACACCGCCATCTGAACAAAAGTGGGATAGCCAGCTGTCGACAGATGCCAGCTGTATCACAAATCACCTTTATTTGCACTGAACACACAGGAGACAGGAAATGACGCCGCTGACTGTCGCGCAGCCCACGGCCCCTTGGACGGATGCGATTCTACGGCGGATTGAAGGTGACCTTGCGTCGACCTGTTGAGTGGTGCCGGGGGCCACGCGGTCGGCTGGAGCGGACCATGATGCGGTGGTGTGTGAGACCCTCCATCTTGATCGGCACCGCCTGGTAGACGACCGGGATGGCGACGTTGTCGTGGATGCGCACACCTGGCGGCCCCGGAGTGCTGCTTGACTGGGACACAGAGCCATGGCATCGGCAGGTATGAGCGCACTCACGGATACCTTAAACAGGCGGACAGAGCCATGCCATCGCTAGGGATGAGCGCACTCACGGATACCTTAAACAGGCGGACAGAGCCATGTCATCGGTAGGGATGAGCGCACTCACGGATACCTTAAACAGGCGGACAGAGCCATGGCATCGGCAGGTATGAGCGCACTCACGGATACCTTAAACAGGCGGACAGAGCCATGCCATCGCTAGGGATGAGCGCACTCACGGAGACCTTAAACAGGCGGACAGAGCCATGTCATCGGTAGGTATGAGCGCACTCACGGATACCTTAAACAGGCGGACAGAGCCATGTCATCGGTAGGTATGAGCGCACTCACGGATACCTTAAACAGGCGGACAGAGCCATGTCATCGGCAGGCATGAGCGCACTCACGGATACCTTAAACAGGCGGACAGAGCCATGTCATCGGTAGGTATGAGCGCACTCACGGATACCTTAAACAGGCGGACAGAGCCATGTCATCGGTAGGTGATGAGCGCACTCACGGATACCTTAAACAGGCGGACAGAGCCATGTCATCGGTAGGGATGAGCGCACTCACGGATACCTTAAACAGGCGGACAGAGCCATGTCATCGGTAGGTATGAGCGCACTCACGGATACCTTAAACAGGCGGACAGAGCCATGTCATCGGTAGGTATGAGCGCACTCACGGATACCTTAAACAGGCGGACAGAGCCATGTCATCGGTAGGTATGAGCGCACTCACGGAGACCTTAAACAGGCGGACAGAGCCATGTCATCGGTAGGTATGAGCGCACTCACGGATACCTTAAACAGGCGGACAGAGCCATGTCATCGGTAGGGATGAGCGCACTCACGGATACCTTAAACAGGCGGACAGAGCCATGTCATCGGTAGGTATGAGCGCACTCACGGAGACCTTAAACAGGCGGACAGAGCCATGTCATCGGTAGGTGTGAGCGCACTCACGGAGACCTTAAACAGGCGGACAGAGCCATGTCATCGGTAGGTATGAGCGCACTCACGGATACCTTAAACAGGCGGACAGAGCCATGCCATCGCTAGGTATGAGCGCACTCACGGATACCTTAAACAGGCGGACAGAGCCACGTCATCGGTAGGTATGAGCGCACTCACGGATACCTTAAACAGGCGGCTTTACTCAGTCCTCGCCAGCACAGCAGTGGCCACCTTAAACAGGCGGCTTTACCCAGTCCTCGCTGGCACAGCAGTGGCCACCTTAAACAGGCGGCTTTACCCAGCCCTCGCCGGGTAGAGCCGCGAGGGCTGGTAAAACAGACGGGTCTATGCAATGCTTCGGGATTTTCTGAGTGTCCCACTGTCTGTTTGGTGCATGGTAATGGTATCTTGGGCCGGGTCATTTTACCATTTTCTAACCATTTTATATTTGATCTCAGAACTGAAGTGTACCGTGTCAGTGACCTACAACGATGCTCTCAGAGGCCTACACGGCGAAAGTGCGGCAAATCTGAGCTTCTCGTTTCAATAATATTTCTCTGCGCACCATATCACTTTTAAGGTGCCTCTGAGGACCCAAAAGGATTGTTGCATAAACGTAGTCAGCGCTTACGGCCTTTCCTCTAATCAAGGTTGAGTTTATATCAGGTCTAATCTGAAGTATTACGTCAACTTCGCTATCGATGTGCCAAAGTGACTGAAATGTTTCAGTAAGTCATTCAACGCAAAGTAGCTACCATTCTTTAAAACCGTCTGAAGCCTTATCCGTAGACGATTCACAGTGCACCGGCATCAGCTCCAATCAAAACGAAGCAAAGTGCGATAAATTCAAGACCACTGTCATGATGGGTGACAGGATGACGTTAGGGCTTGAATTGCGCCTTAGATGTAAACGGTGGCAGACTGGCTTGCTCCGCTTTCGTTCGGTGCATACACGCACAGTCATTCAGAGACGGCAAAAAGGGAGTTATTTTTTGCTTTGTTCATCTCCGTCAGACCTGTTAACTTTCACGGCAAAGTAATTCTGTGAAAATGCCGGACCATGTACGAAGATGTCGCACCGTTCTTGCATTTTTGCTCTAGCGCGTCCGGTGAGGAGCAGATAGCGGCTCATACCAGTCACCCCTGAGCCGTCAAAAGCGACAAACTCCAGAGCTCCGGCAAGGAAACCTGATCACTGGTAAAACCAGCACATACACTTATCAGTGCAATTTAGCGTCCCGCTAGTGAAAGTGCTCCTCGTAAGGCCCGCCTCTGCTGCTGCTGAGGTATTCCAAGCCAGATCGACCGACCAGAATGCCCACTCGTTTAATACGAGATCGTCTCATGCCTATAATCCAGCAGTGCTGTCTTGGAAAAGGTCAGAGCAACGGTTGCAATCTTATGGCCTCGGCCATTTTCAACAGAGCAGCTAGCAGTCGTATCTTTTCGAGGGCCCACAACTGAATATAGGATTACGTAAGTTGTTGAGAGCATTTGCGAGGAACAATACTCACATCGATGAGACAGTAGAAATGGTTTTATTCCTCGGAAAAAACCAGGAGAATGAAAATATAAATGTGTTGTATCTTTATTCTCCTGGTTCGTCTCCGATGAATAAGGCTATTGGTACTACCTTTTCAATTTATGATAATTTAAATCATACAGATCTATGTGCCCCTGAACTCGCAATGACCCGGCGCATTTTGAGGATCTCTCCAATTTTGCGTTCACTGAATTTTCACAATTTTGACATCGTGACCAAAGGTGCTGTGATGTTTTCTACATTTCAAACATTCTTATTTCATCTTGGCCTTAAACCAAAAGGAGGGATAATCGTACATCTATGAAAAGCAAAAACACAATAAAAAACGTCTTTCTTTTGAACGGTCACTTATATTTTCCAAACCAGGTATAAGTAGGCGTTTTCGTGATATTTCAAAATAGTACTCAGCAGTGATAACTTTAAGGGATGCAATAATGCTGAAGTCAAGGCCATTGTGGTGGAGCATGTCATGCGACGATATGATGGATAATATCACTGTACTGCTATCTTAATATTGTGCCAAAACGTCGGGATATTTATTTCGTCTCGTTCAACTCAGTCAGACATGTCAACCTGCATATGTACGGTGAGATAATTTGGTGAAAGTGCCGGAACATGTACGAATATGCCGCACCGTTCTTGCACGTTTGCTCTGGTGAGGAATGGACAGCGGCTCGTACCAGCCGCTCCTGTACTGTCAAAAGCGACGAACTCCAGATGGGGGCTGGTTGGCTGGGGGTTTTCCGATACTCTACAAAATTGAACAGAGCTTTCGTTGTAGTTTGGCCGAAAATAGACAGGTGTAAATCAAATAAGGTGAAAATAGGAAAGTACACGTTCGTGGTCTCCCTGCAGAGTACACCGAGTGGCACTGGGGGTGTGAAAGGGTGGAGTGAGGAAGGGTAATAGGAGAGGGGCAGTCTGGCGACAGTACTGCGGAGGATTAGTCAGGGGTGGGGTGGGGAGGGGGAGTAGGAGCAGGGCAGTCTGGCGACAGTACTGCGAAGGATTAATCAGGGGTGGGGGGGGGGGGGGAGTAGGAGCAGGGCAGTCTGGTGACACTGCTGCGAAGGATTAATCAGGGTTGAGGTGGGGAGGGGGAGTAGGAGCAGGACAGTCTGGCGACAGCACTGCGAAAGATTAGTCAAGGGTGGGGTGGGGAGGGGGAGTAGATCAGCGCAGTCTAGCGATAGTACTGCGAAGGATTAGTCAACGTTGCATACGTTGATCTTTTCATTAATTACGAGATGTTTATTTGTCAGTAATTCTTTGCTTACAAACTGGTAATCAGCGAAGTTCTCACGCGTCGAAAATATAGAAGCTACCAAGTTAAATGGCTATCATCTGGTCGGGCAAAAAGGGTGGTCTGGCATTGGAAACGTCCAGTGTTCACACTCGCTGGCCGTGCTGCCTCGGGTAATGTGATTTGCTGCCAGCCTGCTCGGCCGATGGTGGATTGGTACGAGAGATACGATAGAATATTGTGTGTGCTGTGGTCCGTTTCAACGGCACAGTAAGCCTATTAGAATAATGCAAGCACGGTTTCAGATGTGGTGATCAAAGACGTGAATGATCCCCGCATTGCTGAGGACCAGTGCGGAGCTGCGGGATCAAACTATTCAAGGACCCACACAGCCTACCTGCGGAAGTTCACATTTGAGTTCCGATGTCAGACAGCAAAAAAGCAAACAGCAAAATGAAAGTACGCAGAGCAGGTCTCTTTTTTTGCTATGCTATAAAGCTGACCTACGAGTGGGACCACACCATCCGGATGTGTGCGTGCAATGCCGACTGTGGTGCGGTGCGGTGGAGCGGTAAAACCAAAACTATAGCAGACAAGAGCAATCTCTTCGGAGCTTGCGTGTAGTGAATAACATAGTAAATGAAACTAAATAAGCTTTTATCAGTTCGTCGGCATTTGCTACGCTTCGTCCGAGGCACTGCGTCTTGGCCGGCAGCAGGGGCACTCATTCGGTATGCGTGTGGGCATGTCAAAATTCAAAGCTCCTCACGTCCGCACGTGACAGCGAGGGGCAATAAGTACGTCGCCGTAACGAAAGCACACACTAGCGCTGAAGAGGTGCGCTGATTCTGTCTTATTTCTACGATCTAAACTGTCGTTCGTCAATTAGCTTTCGGAGTTACCTATGGTGGCATGTTAAAGTGAGCTTAACTGCATACTTCTCAGCGCATTCGATAGCAAATTTAAACGTGCTGTATACAAATGATTTCTTAGTCACCTCAGTTGAAACAAAGTGATAAAGACTGGTGTGTTCTAGAGTGCAGCGGCACTGTGTGGGGTTTGACATACTCATTTACAAACAGTTGGTTTAGCACAGCCCGGGTGGTCGGTTAGATACCCCTTGCTCAGGTGGAGGTCAACTTGACCCCGCTGAAATCTCAGGAACTAAGGGAGGTAGAGACACCAAATTCACAACGTTTGT